AACAAAACATATGTTGAATAAATTAAATCATTGAGGATTGAAAATTATTTTTATCAGTAATTTTGAAGTTTGTCAAGGGAGAAACTGAAAGTTTCAATATATTTAATTGTGAATTTCATCTTTTTTTGATTTTCTTTAATATTTCTTAAATATTTTCTTTTATTCTTCTTTATTCTATTCCTATTTTCTTTTATTTCATAGGAACACCCTGTTCACTGCAAATCTAAATTGACACAATTCTCATTTTGCTCTCCCAAGGCAGTAACAATAGGGACAATATATATTAATATCTGTCAAATGTTATAAAATTTTTTATATTTTATTCAAATATTACTTATTATATTAATAATTATCATATAGTTTAAAACCATAAATAAATTATTGGTATATATATATTTTTTGAAATATGTATTTTCTAGTATTATTGATCTTTTCTTTTATAATAAAATATGTATATATGTGTTAAAAAACCTTATCAAAATCAATAAAATATGTAGATTTACATTATGCAAATAATTTATAAGTCCTAAAATAGAATCAAACTATTTTTATGTAATAATATAGATCATGCAAATATACAATATATATTTAAACAGTATTTTTCCAAAAAAGCTTTCAGACAGGCTTGTGGTTTCATCTCTCTGGCTTTTTGATTATTATAAATAATAGATTATATATAAAGTTATTTGTTATTATAGTTGTTAATAAATATATGATTAATATTATAGTTGTGATTGTTGTTGTAATACAAAACTGGTTTGAACATATTTGATTTTTGTTTTGATTTTTAAACAAAATCTGATTAAATGATCGAGAAGTGTTAATTATTTGTAGAGAGTAAGTTGATTTTAATTTTTTGACCAGATAAAAATATTAAAGAATTTATGATGGTGCAATAAATATCATTATGGTAAAATAATATTTATGAGTTGACTTGAAAAAAACAGTAGACTCATTAATTCTGTTTAAGTATGTATTTTGGAAAATATTTGTTTTAGCAAGTATAATTATAATAATGTGGATAGTTTTTATGATAAAATAAGAGTAAGAAGAGATACAAAAGCAAGCTATTATAAAAATTAATAAATTATAAGAGTAGCAAAAAGAAAAAAAAATATTATTTGAATTAGAACCAATAATTAATAAAAAAAGTAAAATCGAAACAAAAATATTGCTTATTTGATAACATTAGTTTTAATGAGTATATTAGAATACTAATAAGCAATTATAAAAAATTTGATATTAAAATATGAAATTAGAACAGTAACAAAAAACACTTTTTCTTGAAAAAAAAGAAAAATGATATCTATTAATATAAGTTAGTCATAAAAAATAGAAAAAACAATATCTTATTTGTAAAGCAATATTAGTTTCAAGAAACAACAATATTGAAATACCAATAATTATAACAAATAATACTGTAATATTAAAGAAGTTTTGAATAATTTTTTAAAGAAAGAAGAACTATTTATAAGAAATTATATAGTAAAGAGATTTAAAAGCAAAAATAAAAAACTTACTTAAGAAAATTTAATAGCCAAAGCCAGAAATATTAATATTATCAAAAGTTAAAAAAAATCTATAAATAATAAATTAAATATTGAAAGCAAAAACTATAGAAAAAAGAATAGTAAGTAATAATTTAAAACCAAAGAAAAAATGCTATAAAAAAAACAAAGAAGTTTCATGAACATATCTTATTAAACAAAACAAATTTCCAACAAAACAAAAAGATGAATAGTTTTAACAATTGAAAATATTATAATAATATAAATCAAGAAAGATTAATGATAATGATAAAAAAAGATAAAAAAAAATGGGTTAGTAAAATAATTAACTATCAAATTAAAAAAAAAATACTTGCTTGCCTATTTCAAAAAAATATTATAATATCATATATAGGAAAAAAACTATAGTCCTAAAAAAAAAGTTTAATAAAATTAAAAACAAATATAACAAAAAAAGATCATAATATAATATAAGAGTTTAACTTTGATAATCATATTGTAATGTTTTTGCAATTATAATTATTATCAAAATTATGATTATATATATTAAAACTTTAATAATAACAATATTCAATACTAATAATAACAATATTCAGTACTTAAAAAAAGAAAAAAAAATCAAAATAAAATCAAAAGTAAATATTAATAAAGCTAATAAATAAACAAATTTATCTTGCAATATAATTGCTTAATAATATATTTAATAATTTTAATTATAATTGTAATTAAGATCACTTGTGAAAAAGTCAATTCTTAAAAAAAAATTTTTATTATATAAAAATAAATATACTATAGTTACTTCTTAAACTGTAATGCTTATCTTTTTTATCTTTTCCAAATTCATTTTCTGATTTTATTAGTAGTAATGATAACAAAAATAAATTTTTGGTCTATTTTTAAATAGAGTTTAATAATTTTTTTATTATAATACTTATTGTTGTCTTAATATTTACAACTACAATTATTGTTTAAAGGATTTGATTAGATTTAAAATAGAAATTACTTGTTCTGTTATTAAAAAGAATAAGTTGTTTGTTTCTTTAGATATTTTTTAGCTTTTTAAAGATTAATCTCTTTTTTTGTAATTTTCTAAAAAAAATATTTTTTTATAAATATTATTATTATTATTATTATATTAAATATACAGTGTATAAATATTATATATAAAAAACAAAATTAAATAACAAATTCTAAACTTTGAACAAAATCTTATTTTAATATAATAATGGTTTTTCAAATCTCTATATTTTTGAATTTACAAAAAAATTTCCAACATAATAATAATTTTTCAATTATCCAATCACATTCAAATTGAAAATCTATAAATTTATTATCAAGATTAAAAATTTCAACTTAGTTATGTACTGTATGTCCATTATACGATTTAAGTTGAACGAAAATTTATAATATACAATATGCATGAGAATTGATTAACAAATAAAATAGATACAGTATGTACCATTAGAAGTGTGTAGACCGTACAATACGGTAATTCGTTACACTTCCGCATAAAGTTAGACCATGTTTACAAAATTATGTATATATAAGGTATACATTATGCATAAACAACCAAGGACGTAAGAAAGACAAGGCATGGAGAAATATTCAAGTATTTCGACAGTAATCCTATTATTTATTATCACAACCTCATTTATCGGGGTTTTGAGTTTGGAAAACGGGCTTGGGAGAACTCCTCCTATGGGATGGAATAGTTGGAATCGTGTAAGCATTTGCAGGATAGTTTACCTTATATTTACCATTGAGAGTTTCTAATACAAGCTACGCTGCATGATAAAGTTTGGATGTCAAATTGATGAAGATCTGATAAAGGGAACTGCTGACGCCCTTGTTAGTTTTGGATTCGCTGATGCTGGATATAAATATTTAAATCTCGGTTAGTTAAAGATACGAGATACGAATTAAACCCGAATTTACGAAGCTTCTAATCGTGTTGATTTTATGGTAGATGATTGCTGGGAAGGGGAGAGGAATCAAGAAGGGTTTATTACTTATGATAAAAATACGTAAGTGTTCAAAGGACGTTTTATATCATAAAGTTTATAAATATAGCTGAATTATTGATGAATTTCAGATTTCCAAATGGAATTAAAGGTTGTTACATTTTGCAAAGAAATTCAAAATAAAATCGTCCACTATCCAAAAATGTATTAAATCGTCTACTTTGATCTTTAGCGCTTGCCGATTATGTTCATAGTAAGGGTTTACTGGTTGGAATATATAGTGACGCAGGATTTCTTACGTGTGCCAGACGCGCCGGAAGCCTTGGTGAGTTTTGATTAAAAGACTTATTGTAGATAGCTCCTTTAATCACTTCTTATCTCAACAGGTTATGAGGAAAAGGACGCCCAAACTTTTGCATCTTGGGGAATCGATTACCTAAAATATGATAATTGTAACAATGACGGATCGCCCGAAAAACAACGATATGTGGCAAGTTGAAGATTTATTTGTACGATCTTTATTATCCAACCGATCCAGTTGTATCTAACATATTGTCGTTTTATAGACGATGAGAGATGCACTCAATGGTTAGAGCAATTGTTTTTTTTTGTTTCAATGAAATCTTTATGAATAAAAAATCGATCAATTTTATAGCAACCGGGAGGCCAATTTTCTACAGTATATGTGAATGGGGGTATGTTGAACTATCGGGTTTTGGAATTTCAATCAGGATACAACTAACAAATATACATACTATTTAGGACAAGTAGACCATATCTCTGGGGTTCAAAAGTCGGAAACAGGTATTAATAATCAACAAACTAATATATATATATATATCTATCTAAATTAATTTGATTTTTTGTAGTTGGAGGACCACGGGTGACATCAGGGCCGAATGGATGTCTGTCACTTCCATTTTGAAAAGGCAACAAAGAATCACACATTATGCAGGTCCAGGTGGATGGAACGATCCGGATATGTTGCAAGTTGGGAATGGACATTTCTCTATAGACGAACAAAAAAGTCACTTTTCTCTTTGGGCCGCATTAAAGGCTCCTCTTTTGCTTGGATTTGACGTAAGCTTTAGTGAGAAGGAAGATGGGAGTGATACCAAAGTTAGGCAAATATCATGTCATCATGTTTTTTTTTTTGATCCGTAGATAAGAACACCTCCAGAGGATACCATAAAGTTAGTATTAAACCCGGAGATTATTGCGATCAACGTAAGTAAATGGATAATTATATTTCTGTCAATAAAATGCCCAACCCATTCCACAAATGTTATTAACTTTATCTTTTAACTTCACGTTTTATTTCCAATCAATAGCAAGATCCTCTAGGGAAGTCAGTAGCCATAGCTCAAAGTTCTAGGTTTTTCGACATCTGGACCGGTCCGTTAATCGACGGCCACGTTGCACGTATGAGCTTGAATTATGCTGTTTTGAACATTTTGTTGTGATATCAGCTAAGGCTAAGTTACATAATATATTGCCCTACGCAATTTATTATTCCAGTCTTGTTCAATAGAGCTGAAAAGCCATTAACAATCACCTTGGATTTTTCATATCATTGCCAACTGGAAGGCGAAATTCATGTCAGAGATCTCTGGGAAAGAGCTGATATAGGAAATTTCACGAAAGGGTAAGCCGCTCTTAAATGCTTTTACAATGATTTTTTTTCCATAATATTAATGAGAAATCATCGAATCTAGATATTCATCTAAAGTCCCAAAACATGGGATAGTAGTCTTGAAACTGACGGGTGGCACTCCTCGGGGAATACTTAAATCTCAATAACATTTGATCTTTCCCGAGCTATTACAGATCAGTTTGTGAATTACGAATATGTGGTAGTTAGTATAGATGATATTTTTAATTTAAGACTTCATTCGGTGTTATACCACTATTTGGCATTAAATGAATACGTCCGAAACTCTAGACAGAAAAATTGATGGAGTCACATCAAGAATAAAAAAGTTGCAAAACACAAAACATGTTCATCTTCGGCAATACTAATTTGGTCTTGTCATGAATAAGGCACAATATTTTCATAAAACTTGAGAAAAAAATTATTTAAGGATAGTTGCATTCTGAATGCCAAAATTATAATCTTATGACTACAAATCCAAAAAAAATTTTTTTTTGAAGTTTGACCATTTTTCCAGTTGTTTTTTTTTGAAAAAAATTTCCCATTCCGTTATAACCTCTTGGGAATACATGGCTTCTATATAATCCATTGGTCAAAGACATCATATTTTCAACAAACCCTTACGTTATTTAGTATCAGACGCTCCACCATTGCAATTCGGAACCAACAGAAAACCAGATACCTTCGCCCCTTATATCACGTGCTTCCATATATTTAAGGTTTGAAGAATCCGCGACGCTAAAAGTTTCACAAAACTTTATGGTCGATATGTGTTCTTTAAACGGCCCTATGGGTGCACGCACCAATTTACCGGATGATATCGAATATAATCGGACGTATCTGTCCGAGCCGGCTATTATTTTACAAGATATTACCATTAATTACTCAGGAAAAACAAACCCTCCAATGTTTCTTACCTATCGCGACTATTGATTCATGTGTATTAACGGAAAATCCTATTCGACGATTGCCATTATTAACGTGTCCTAAATACTCCATAACTGGGTCTTTTTTCATGCATCGAATATCCCACAGGGATAGCTAATGAAGATGATATTGAATAAAACATAAATTCAGAGTGAAGAAACCAAAAAATTAGAATGAAATTAAAAATTAATATACCGATCCATTCATTCCATCACATAAGACATGACAGCTATGAATAGACTTCAAATTGCACACTGGTGATGACTGTCTTATACGTGGACTCTCGCCCGCTGATCTATTAATATTCGAACGTATATCAAATATTCGAATCTGACCATCTCGACATCCAGCATAAACTACCGATGGCTATTGAAAAAAATAAAAATAAAAATAAATCGCATTTTCTTCGGATAACCGAAATTCCAAATGCATCAAATAAAACTTTAAAATATTTACTCGCCTGATTTCGATCAAAGTCTAAAGCAAACACATCACTATTAGTCCGATAGACTCTTTCCATCGTTTTATGTCCAGAGTAATTCTGAACAATGGTCACATTATTGGATGAACCTAGAATAAAAATAACGACGCGATACACGTGTTAAAATCAACTATAAAATTATTAGGAGCATAACATCTCACCTACAGCCGTTGAAGGGGTGACCTGCGAAAAAGTGGAAGTCCAAAGGGTCGTTTTTGATACATATTCGAATACGGGTTCTGTTTTATGTGTTAATTGTTCAGGGAAAATTTTTAAATGCAGTCACATACACACACGGAAACCTCAACTGCCGTCACATTATATTATTGAATCCACCCACCTGCCAAACAAAATTGATTATAATCCGCTGGAATTTTGAAAATGCACAGTACACCAGGGCCTAGGTCACCTCCGAGAGATGTAACACTATCAGATTAAACGAATTATTCATCAAAATCAAAGATCAAGCAATGTTCTTCATTATATGTCATCTAATAAACTTACGATAATAAATTATCCTTTGTCAGATCCATTGATGATATCTGTACAGGAAGACAAGAGGTTGGCCTCTGTAAATCCATCGACAACTTTTTCCATAATCGAGCTAGAAAGTCAAATGAACTAAACCTCGGAGGTACAATAACCAGATGACAATTTGAAAAGCTCGGAACAAGAATCCTTGTCAGCTCGATATCTTAGCAATCTATAAGTTTCGCAAACAATTTAAAAATCAATTTATAATCCCAAAACACAGTAGCTTTCACATTCTTTGATTTCCTCACCCAACGAGTCCTTGAACATTACCATAATAGATATCATTAACTAACGGATGAATCTATTCGATGACAAATTTTATATTCAAAAACATTAGAAATTGTTCATTCTGCACACGTTATATTACCCACACTTACCAGGAAATATGTGACCCGATGTTTCACATACGACGTTTCAAGGGAGCCAACATGATGATACAAATTTACAATGAATTCACCCGTCTCGCTGTCAGAGATAATCGATCAGAAGGTATTCGCAAATTAAGTAAGGATATCAACCAGAATCAATTGTTTAACAATATACTTTTGAATTCTGCGATGAGATTTGAAAGGATTGACTTCTTTACTCAGGAGATAATCAAATCTGTTATAATTTCGGTGAGCCCATGACTTTTCAACCTTCATATAGTTAAAATTCGATCCATTGCGTTAATGGAGATAGCATTCAAACGATAAGTAATTGAACTTTGTGGGAGTTTCACCTCTTTTGTCATTTTTTTCTCTTTTATCGCAGAAATGCTGTGAGGATGATCACTCCCAAACGTCTTGTTTGGAAGTATCTTAAAGTACCTATTCTTTTCGCTGTCATAATAGAAACCGGGAATTTCCATCGGTGGGCTATTTTCCGGTGCATTCGATGATACATTAGACAAATAAGGGTGAACACGATTATTTGAATTCGTATCATTGATCTTTATTATTTTCTTGGGTTGGTAAAATTTCTCATCTTTACGATGTTTTTTTTTACCCATTTCGTAATGACGAAGTGAATCAATACAGTAAGTAATTCGCGATCGATTTTTATGTTTTTTTTTATCTGTCACGTGGCGTCGATCCATTTTAATTGATTTTTATTTTTATACACGGGTTTAAAAATACAACCTTTTAGGTTAAATGCTATACCAATAACCTAAATTTTATATTTTGTTACAACCAATAGATAACCTAAATTATAACAAAAAAAAACATTTTTTTTTTAATTAAAAAAAATAACAACTCAACAATTTAAAATGTGTACTTATAAAAATACCATTTTAAATATTATTAAAAATTTCAAATAAATAAATAAATAAACAAATTAATATTCAACTATAATTTAATAATACATTTTTTTTTTTTATATAATTTTGATGTAATAAAAAATTATGTTTACAGTATATGTAATTAAAAAGATGTTTAATCTACCAAATATGCTATATTTAAAAATTTTCTAATTGGCTTAAGAATATGCAATATTTTAAATAATTCAGAATCAAATCAATCAATATACACATATATACTGGATGTACTGTATGTATGAATAACTTTATTTTTTAATTTTGATTCGATGATTGTTTTTATTTGAATTGAATTAACTATATACAGTATACGCTTTTTTTAACTCAAAATTTACAACAATCAACCATCGTGCAATACTTGAAAATTTTTTATTTGAAACTCGATAAATTCGAACCACTTGATAATAAACTTTATGTTGTATATAAGGAATAGTCTTTTTATATTTTTTTCTATAATTTGTACAAATATATCTCGGGTCTCTCTTTACATACCGGTTTAATTTTGCAAAACTTCACGCAACACCAAATCTCATCTAGAGCTCTCGTGTAAAGTTCCCAGGGAGATGTGTTTTTCAAGCATCTTAGAATGCCTCTCAGACATATCAACCCCATCCTCCATGTAGTAATCCGGCGACACCCAATCATCAATCTCCAACTTCAGAGATCTAACCTCTCTCCAGAAACATTGATCGAGAAATCTATCAACAGCTTCGACACTCAATCCCATGTACCCATCGATGCGAAGAGATTGTAGTGATGAGGGAATAGATTTTCCCAAATTCTCCATCCACACAAATAAATCGGATTTTGATATAACGGGATAATCGTGCCACATTAGCTTTACATATCTTAACGTGTTGCAAGCATTCAGTATTTCAATTATTAGATGCAACGTGGCGTAGGTAAAAGGAATAAAGAGTTTCTTGAGATGTGGACAGTTTTGGGGAATGGAGGACAAGAGTAAATAGTGATCCTTGGTTTTCGCCAAATTAGTTTCCTTGTACCAAATGATGGATAAAGACTGGATTGTTTTATGCGTGCTGTTGATTATGTTGAAAACGGACGAAGGGTCCACGGACCTTCCGTCGACAGTTAAGATCTTCAGAAACTGACATTCAAGAAAAACCTCCAATGGGACCAATTCCGATTCACTGTAAATTTTCAAAGAAGTCAATAGACGAATCTTTTTTCTAAAAGAGTCGGTGATGGGTAATCTGCGGGTGCCGGAGATTGTCAACGACCAAGCGGTCTCACGCATTTGATCTATTAACGAGTTCAGCCCCGAATTATCATCACCGTTGCAGTTTACACTTAAATCCTTGATCTCGGTGAACATCCTACCTATTGATTCATATATTTCCTTTATGTGACCGGTGTAACAGATTAGTTTCTCCAAAGTAGAATTTGGTGGAATGATGTTGGATAATTGTTGAAAGTGTGAGAATTCATTCCACTTGATGCAATCCAGGGTAATGCTAAATTTGAGATTTGGACTTTGCGAAATAAATAATTTGCATAGTTCTCGATATAGTAGCAATCGTCTCCCTTGAGTTTCCTTATATTTACTCGAACTGTAACACTTTGACCCTATCGCCCAACACGTGGAAACCTCGTGAAGACCTTGTAGTTCAATCCTTTGTAAGAATGATGCGTAGTTAATGGCAGTACTTGATTGCTCCGATAGTGCCGGAGAAATTATTCCGGCGTCCCTTAATAAGGCCTTGGATTCTCGGGGAAGGTTTTTGATGTAAACTTGTATGATATCATCTTTTGAATCCTCTGCCGGGAAATTCGATCTTGCGCAAACATTTAACGGTTCCTCCCATATTATCGAGACGGCATTGTGGCACCAATAACGATTAACCAGAAGACAAGATTTTTTCAAACTTCTAAATATTGGGCCTTTGGTACATAGATTGTACTTGAAAATGTCCTGCAGAATTTCTGGTGGAAGGCGAGAAACCATGGGGTATTTTTTTTTTTTTATGAAGAGAATGATGACATCTGAGATCGATAAATACCGTGATTTCGATCACGTTGATCATGTTGTATTTCCAGGAGCATGCTTTTTTTAGACATGGATGACAGGTCGAACTATCCCATTAATGGAAATCGATTCACATGAAACCCTGCTTTTCTTTGCTTAATTAACTAAACGTTCTTATTCGGAATATGTTAAATGTGTGTAACATCGAACAACGTTTACGGTACACGTCAGACAAATCTCTGGCGTCATAACGAAAGTATATCATACAAAGCTAGAGAACGCTTTCGTATTTATCTCACTTGGTAGTAGTCTTTGATGATTAGGTGCGGTGCAGCCCAAATACTTTGACCAAAAAGGCGCATATTTTTACTAAAAATAAACTATCTTTTGATTACCAAGAGTAGAACAACGTCATATTAACACTCATTTGTCATACGTGCACATTCCAAAAAGCAAAATCCGCTAACCCCTTATGCGTTGGTATTAGCATAAATGCATAAATGCGGGTAGCGCATTTGGGGCGTACCGTACGTGGTACCACGTACAATCTGCCTACTCGGGAAACCAAAAGAGAAATATAAGTAACGATCTTAACCCGTTAATCTATTGTTCTAAAATAAAGTTATCATGACCGGTGTCAGAATAAAATTAATTGGCCTTCTTAAGATCGAGAAGGGTGCGTAAAACCTTTACACAAGTGTTTCACACGTGGCTACCTTTCTATAATACAAATGCATGAGATGCAGAAAAAGAATTCTATGTGCCGCGCCAATCATGCAAGCATTTATACAATTAGAAATTTATTGTGTTGCCATTTGTATGTTTTGGGTATAAAGGGAAGATGGTTCAATGAGAAATCCTTTAGCTTTCGACCCTGTGTCTTAGAAAGTTGTTTTCTTGCGTGCGATCGGTCCTTGGAAGGAAAGAAAAAAAAAATTCCTAATAATAATAAAATAAATAAATAAATAAAATAATAATAGTAATAATAATTACTTCTATGACTTGGTGAAAGCATTCGCACGTTTTTAAAAATAGCCTCATAATTCATTGTGTAAGCATAACTTCCCACTCGTTGATACGTGCTGACATATGTTGACAATTTAAATAGTAACGGTATCTTTACAATTAAATATAGATGATAGAAAGAAAGAATCATTGTTCTTTTTGAAGAAAAGTAATAGAACCCTTCTTTTTCTTTTTATGATTGATTTAAGTTTCTATTGAGGTAATGGTAAATTTAATGATTGTTTTTTTTTTTTTTTTTTTTACAACATACAACTGAATGCATTTAAATTCTTGACTCCACTTGTTTGTTTCTTTAGCCGCATTCAACATGGTAGACGTTCATCCAGCTGTAAAAATTGACCTCACCTCACCAAACAAGTGTAAGGGATGTAATGAGCCGATAAAAAAGTTCTCGAGTTGGTGCAAAAGTTGTGTGTCCAGTTATTTTAGTAAAAACTT